GTTCCTTCTGCAGGCTGTGTGTGTGTGTGTGTGTGTGTGTGTGCACTGGGTACCTTCTGCAGGCTCTCTTGCTCTCTCTGTGTATGTGTGTGCGTGTGTTGGAAGGGTCAGCTTTCTTGCCTTTTTCCAAGCAGAAAGCCCACCCACTGGCCCCTTCCAGTTTCCGGCCCCACAGTAGGCTTCCTCTGGTGTTGGCTTTCGGTTGCCTGCTTCCACATTTTGGAGCCTTCAATTGCTCTGGCTTACTCGGATAATCTAGAATAATCTCCACCTCACGGGGGATGAGCTGCCTGGGAAGTTCTGTGCCCTGAAACAAGCCATCTCTGTGCTCTAGGAGTTAGGTTGGGGGCATTGTCCTGCTGACCATTCACCTCTGGACACCTCCCCGCTTCCCTCTGCCAGTCTCTTTCTCGTCCATGATGCCTGCGGTGGTGCCAGCCCAGTTCATGTCTCCTCTGACCACAGATCCCAGGGCCAGCACTCTAAAATATACATTCAGCCCCTTCCACTGGAAGGAGAGCCTAAATGCCACTCGGACACCCGCAAACCTTGATCTGCCCCATCCATTTAGCTCCCCAAGATCCTCTCCTCTCTTACTTTGTACCTTTGCCGTGACTTCAAAATCACTTCCTGTTTTCTGTCTACCCAGGATGTTTGCCACCTCCCGGCCTGTGCCTGATGGTTCCACCCTGGACCTTTCTGTCTGCCCCCTTCATTCATTCCCCTGGCCCTGACCTAGTCCTCCTTCATCGTCCTTCCCCAGCACCTAAATGTGCTTATTATTTATCGACCTGGCACTGAGACCTTGCCTGTCTCCTCTCGTCCTTGAGAGTTCTGCAGGCTGGGCAGTGTCTTGCTTGTTTGGCCTCAGAGCCCATCAGGAGCTAGTCCCACCCAGATCCATCGGAAACCTGTGACCATGTACCGAAGCTCAAGGACTCGGTCTAGGGATGCCGAGGGGACCCACTGGGCCTGCAGCGTGAAGGTGCAAGAGCCTGTCCCTTGACAGGACAGCATGCTGGAGTAACAGCAGCGACAGCACCTGCAGCTGCTGACACGGAAGCCACTCCGTGCCGAGTGTTAGCTCCAAGCTTGCTTCACGAATGTCCTCAGGGTGGCCTTGGGAGTCCAACTCTCACCCGCTCCCCGCTTTGTGGATGAGGACCCTGGCCTCCTCAGGAGTAGACTGGAGGTCAGGGAAGTTCCTCGTGGCTCCTGCTGGAGGGAGGGGTGATGGGAACTGGCCATAGCTGCTGTCGAGGTGAGGCAAGGTGGCCCTTCCTGGAGGAGGCTGAGGCTGGGCAGGCCTCGGGTGGGGCTGGGCAGGCCACTGGGAGGCCAGTTCCGGCATGCTCTTCCCCACTCCTGCTTCCTTCCTGACCCTTCCTGTTTCCTCTTCTTCATTGTTCAGCGGGGCGATTGTCATCCTCACCCCGCCCTGGGCCTGCCCAGGCAGGATGTGCAGGCAGGAGGTTCAGTTTTCAAAAGTCAAGTGTGGATTAAACACCTTGAACCGCAGGCTCAATGAGGCTAAAACAGTCACTTTTGTGTTATGTGTGTTTTATCAAAATAGAAAGAGTCGAAGGTTGATGAGATGGTTGAGTGGATAAAGGTGCTTGCTGCCAAGCCCGAGGACCTGGTGTCAGTCTCTGCAACACACAGGGTGCAAGGAGAGAAACCACGCTCACGTCTGCTCTCTGGTTTCCACACAGGGCCTGCGGAATGCACATGTGCCCCCTCCAACTTTATCAAGAAATGCTGAATGTTAAAATGAAAAGTATAAAAAGAAAGGAGAGCGATCCTGTTCACTGAGTGTGAGGCTCCATCCACGATTTTCCACATGCTTCTCCTCTCATGTGATTCCAGGAACAGAGGAGAGAGGTATGAAGAGCCGGGGGCTGGCAGTCCCATGGGGCCTCTGGCTCTAGGGAGACATGGCCGGGAGATGTCATGAGTTGGGCCCTCCCTCCTCCCTGCCTGCCGCCATTAGAGTCACAGGTGGTTTCCTATCGCCCACTTTTCAAACAAGCAGGGTTGGTAGTGCTGTTCTCTCTGGTGGGTGTGCTCTCGTTGGCACATGTCACTATACTGTGGCTTGAGCATCATGACAGATTCTTGGTGGTTTTTTTTTAAAGTTTTTTTCCTATTTTATGAGTATGTGCCTGCATATATGTCTGTGCACCACACGGATGTCTGGTGCCCTCAGAGGACAGAAGAGGGTGTTAGATTCTCTGGAACTGGAGTTATAGGTGGTTGCGAACTGCCATGTGGGTGCAGAGAACCAAACCCAGGTCCTCTGCAGGAGCAGCAAGTGCTCCTAACCACTGAGCCGTCTCTCCAGCCTCCTGCATCCTGTTCTTATCTCTCCACAATGCTCAGAGGACAAGGGGGTGGGTGTGAGGCCAGGGGACTGCATGCTTCAGCTACTGACTTTCCCTGTGTCCCGAGGGACATCGGCTCTCCTTGCTGCATCCAGGCCTTCTCTGTAATGTTCGGCCGGTGGGACAATGTGAGGACTCTGTCTGTTCACCCCCAGCCAAGGGGCTATGTCTGTCTTCAGGACCACCTTCACCCTCTCATCTCAGAATCATACAGTGCCCATGGAAGAGGAAGAAGCAGAGGACGACGAAGCCAGTGGAGTTCTTGGCTCCCAGGGTCTGAACCTTGGGAGCTTTCTCAGTCTCTGGTGACCCCCACTCTGGCTTCTTCTCACCCCTGCAGGTGGCTGGACTTGCGCCATGTCATTATAGGAGCATTTCCCCCTCCAGCCCCCCATGTAAGTAATAGGATCTCAGAAACAGGCTTTATTTTTCCACGTCTCCTGTGCTCTTCACAGGACTGGGCCCAAGGGAGGCTTCCCAGGAACCCAGAGTCCTAGGGCGTGGTTTAGTGGCCACTGAGACCAAAGCAAAGGAGGGTAGAGACTCCAAGCTCTGGGTTCTGGAGGAAGAGCTCTCAGGAGGCTGTGGGAGACACTCAGACACTTCAAAAGCAGAAGCTGGACTGTGGTGTCGCCATTGTGACCCACAAATAATAACGTTGCTGTACCTGGTGGGCCTCCCATCAGCCATGGCTGCAGGAGGGCAGGGACTTTGAGAAACAAACTGCTTATACACAGCTACTGCTGGGCACAGGGGGTCGAACCTCATTTTCGGTGAGAGGGAGGTGGTGGCCACTAGTGTCTTCCCTTCACAGATGGGGACAGTGAGAGGAAGGTTAGCTAGAGGTGGCCTGGGGTAAGATTGGGACCTATGGGATGGGGTGAGGACAGCCAGCGCTAGACCAGCCATGGCGTGGTCGACTTGACAGTCTAGAGATGGGCCCCTGGGGGATTGTCTTGATTATGTTAACTGACGTGAGGAGACCCACCTCCATTGTGGGTAGGACCACTCCTCAGGTCAGGGGATCCTCGACTGTATAAAACAGAGGGAGCAACTGCACCAGCATACATTCATCTCTGTGATTCTTGATTACAGATTCCATGTGACCTTCAAGTTCCTGGTGCCTTGTTCTCCCCGCCATGATGGACTCTACCCCAAATCGTGAGCCAAAATAAACCCTTGATCCTTTGAGTTGCTTCTGTCATGGTTATCTTTGTTTGCTTGTTCGAGACAGGATCTCACTGTGCAGCCCTGGCTGGCCTGGAGCTCACAGAGATCCTCCTGCCTCTGCCTCTCCTGAGTGCTGGGATTAAAGGGATCTGCCATATGGAGAATTGGCATGCCAGAGTGTTTTGTCATAGCAACAGGAAAATAAATGAGGACACCAGGGAATGAACAACATTTCTCATGTTAGTGGCTCTTCAGCTTGTAGTCCTCAGAGGCGGTGAACACATCCATTGCTGCCACAGCTGTCGATTTCCCAAGACCTATTGAACATGGCCTCCCCATTCTCCCCAGCTTCTTAGAAACCCCCCATCTGCTTTTTGCCTGACTCTGATGGCCCTAGGCAGCATATAATGACATCTGTCCTTCAGTGTGTCTAGCTTATTTCACTTTGCATAATGTTCTTAAGGTTCATTTATGATGTTTCACAGAACAAAATGACCTTTATAAAGGCTGAGTAATATTCCTGGACATTTCTCTTTTTTTTTTTTTTTTTTTTTTGGTTTTCGAGACAGGGTTTCTCTGTGTAGCTTTGCGCCTTTCCTGGGACTCACTTGGTAGCCCAGGCTGGCCTCAAACTCACAGAGATCCGTCTGGCTCTGCCTCCCGAGTGCTGGGATTAAAGGTGTGCGCCACCACCACCCGGCTCCTGGACATTTCTTTTAAGGACACGATTCAGTGCAGAGCAGAACCTGAGGATGAATCTGGCAATTCTAGTGTTAAGATCATGGATGCTTGAAGGAACTGACAAAGGGGTTGTGGGAGAGGCGGTGAGGTTGGGTGAAGTGGTCCAGCGTTTCTGATACAAAGAAGAGAGTGGTGGCCTTGGCCCAGGGCTGACCTGGGCCATGGAGGATGGAGTCTGAGTTTTGGGTCCCCAACTGACAGGTCACTGTTGACCTTGGCATGAGTGATATGGGAGGAGAGCATGGAGGAAGCCCTTGTGGAGTGGCCAGTCTGGACCTGGGGGAGTCAGAGGAGAAGCCACAGAGGTAGCAGGTAGATGATACTGCTGGGCAGCAAAGTGGAGGGAGCAGAGAGAGGACTTGGAAGATGGCAAGGCTGGGGCAGTCCTGACACACTCTTATCCGCGACGATGCTCTGGTTAGAGGAGAAAGCCTACGCGGGGCTGATGGGGCAGGGCGGGAGCATCTCTGAGGAAGCGCCTAGATGCTGTTTGAGAGGCAGGAAGAGTCCTGGAGGAGAGGGGGGAGGGTGGGGCATGTTCTCCCTGTTGTCTTGTCTCTGTGAAATAGGAAGCGGGAGCCTCAGCAGAGTGAGTGGGGCCTGGTCTGAGGAGCTGGGGGAAGGAACAGAAGGGCCACCCAGGGAGAGCACAGGACAGAGAGGACCAGGACAGGAAGAGTGTGGGGATGGCCAAGGCTGCTGTATGCTGAGCGCATTTTCTCCCTTAATTCTCTGGAAGGCTCTGTGATGTCTTTTATTTTTACTTTGTTTACTGTCTCTCTGGGTGTGTACACATGCGTGTGAGCAGTATTTGTGTGGAGGCTAGAAGATAACACGGGGAGGTCTGCTCTCTCCTTCCACTGTGGGATAGAGGAATCAAACTCAGGTCATCAGGTTTCTGCAGCAAGTGTTTTTATCCACTGAGACATCCTGCCATCCCCTATTTTTATCTTTCGCTTTATTTGCTTATTTATTTAATTTATGTTTCAGACAGAGTCTCATGTGGTCTAGGCTGGCCTCAAACTTGCTGTGTAGCTGAAGAGGACCTGGAATTCCTGATCCTCCTTCCTCCACCTCCTGAGCACTGAGATCCCACACTTGGGTACCAGGCTGGGAGGGAAATCCAGGCTTCACACACTTCGGTCAAACACTCTGACACTGTGCTGCATCCTCGGACCTGGTTTTCATCTTGTTGATGAAATGAGAAGACTCTGAACGCTTGTGTGCCCCACCCCCACTGTCGAAACCTCTAGAGCAGTGACCCTCAACCTGTGGGTCAAGACCTCTTTGGGGGTCAAATGACCCTTTCACAGGGGCCACCTAAGATCATCGGAAAACAGATATTTACATTAGGACTCATACAGTAACAAAATTGCAGTTATGAAGTAGCAATGAAAATAATTTTGGGGGGATTGGGGATTTAGCTCAGTGATAGAGCGCTTGCTTAGCCAGTGCAAGGCCCTGGGTTCAGTCCTCAGCTCCGGAAAAAAAAAAATTTATGGTTGCGGGAGGGGGAGGGGGTCACCACAGCATGAGCAACTGTACTCAAGGGTCGCAGCATTAGGTGGGTTGAGAACCATTGCTCTAGAGGATGATGCTGACAGATGGAGCCTGTGGAAGGTGATGAGGGCAGAGGGTGGGCCCACAAGTGGCCTTATTGTCCTTATTATTTTTGTTGATGCTGGAGTGGTACCCAGGGCCTTGTACATGCTAAGCAGGTACTCTGCCTTGAGCTCCACCCCAGCCCTATCTAGAGACCTTCTAAAGGAGACCTGGAGCTAATATGTCCATCTACCACAAGGATGTCCATCTACCACAAGGATGCAGTGAGAAGGAACCGCTTATGAGGCAGAGAAACCTCGCGAGGCATGGAACACACCACTCCTGGCTGGAGTCTGGACTGCTGTGAGAAATAAGGCTCGGTGCTTTTTCTTTCTCTGTTTTTCCTGGTGCTGGGAATCGAACTCAGAACCTCCCATATGCTAAGCAAGCATTTTGCCACTGAGATATAGTCCCAGTCTTGCTCTGGCTATTTATAAACCCAGTGATCTACGGCATTTGTTGAAATCGCCTGGACAGACTGAGATGGAATGAGCTTCTGCTGTCCATCGTGTGCCCTGCAGGTCTGACCCCAGGGCTGGGCTATCAGAAGCCTGTCCAGGGTCTGGGGAGATGGCCCTGTTGGTAAGTGCCTGCTGTCCAAGTGTCAGGACCTGAATTTGGATTCTCAGCAGCCACGTAGAAAGTAGGGTGTGATGGTGCAGGCCTGCAATCCCCCATTGGTGGCTGGAGACAGCCCAGTCCTGGATGCTTACTGGCCAGCTGGTCTAGCCCATCTGTGCGGTTCAGTGAGAGACATTGTCTCAAAAAATAAGATGAAAGACAATAAATGAAGACACCCAACTTCAACCTCTGACCTTCGTGACACATGCACACATGTGGACAGGTGCAAACACACACACACACACACACACACACACACACACACACAGCACGCACTTGAAGGCTATTCTGTTCATTTTTAAAGTCATGTTTATTTTTCTCTTTGTAAAGGACTGATGGTTATTTCAGGACATTTGGAAAATTCAAAGAAATATAATTATGAAAATTTCTCAATGCTTATGAATCCACTGCCTTATGAATCTGCTAGCCTGCCTGTTATGGCAGGTGGAGCTGCCCATCAGCAGATCTCCTGTCTCTGGGAGTCTTGCAAACAGCTGGACTACATTTCCCAGCCTTCCCTGCGGAGAGAGCAGCACGTGACTCAGCTCTCACCAATGGGATGTGGGAGAGAGTGAAGTCACCCTCTTCTAGGGCACAGCTTAAAAGATTTGAGGCTTTGAGGGATCCTAGGCCTGCTGACACTTTGACCTCTGATCTCTGTCCTCGAGAACTGTCAGGAAGTGTGTTCTTACTGTATTAAAGACCAGTTGTTGTCCTGTCCGGTGTCATGTGTGGGTTCCTCCGCCCCGCCTCCATCCCCGCGGGAAGTAACCACAGGACTCCGGCAGAGTGGACCCGCCCATGCCCTGCCGTCCCATGTCTGAAGGGAGGAATGACCCTCTAAGTTTGCCGATCCTTTGAACTCTGAGTTGAGAGAACTCCCCCAGCAATGTCCCTTCTGCGTCATGCTGTACACAGCCTCTCAGGCTGGCTTTTGTGGTTCGTCCTGCTACTTAGCGTTCGTTTGTCACAGTCTTTCTTTCCATTGCCCTCAGACAGCTCCGGTGGCAGATCTCCAGGGGTACACTGAAGCCCTGCACCCCACTTACAGTCCCACACAACCCGACTGTAGGTTGTTCCCACAATTTGCTTCTACCAACAGTGCCTCATGAGAAATACCTCTGTCAACAAATATCCTCACGAGAAAGTGGTCAGCCCACCTCAGTTGCCAGCCTCAGGCTCACCTCTGCTCCGGTGGCTGGCCTAAAGACTAGGTTATTAGAGAGATCTGTTCTGCCCAGAGTCGCGCGCTCTCTTTCTGATGTGATATTCCCCTCCCGTTGTGTTTGGCTTCACGTCCGCTATGTAGCTGAAGATGACTTTGAACTCCCAACCTTCCTGTCTTTATCTCCCAAGTGCTGGGGTAGCAGGCATGGCTCCTGCATGCTAGGCGACTGTTCTGCTTTGGACTACATCCCCAGTGTGTTTTCTGATGCATTGCTGACCCTTGCTTTGCCCCAATTCTATTGGAGCCCCTTACCAGTTCCACCACCACTTGAAGGTACAGGAATGAGATGTTGGACAACTGGTCTTTAATACAGCAAGAACATTCTTCCTCACAGAGGTCAGAAGTCAAGGTGTCAACAGGCCTAGGAACCCTCAAAGCCTTATAAAGATATCTACTTAAGCATATCCATAACCCCCCCCATTTACTTATTTTTATGGGGTTTCACTATGTAGCCTTCTCAAACAGCCCCCCAGTTTATTTATTTTTATGGGAAGCCTCACTATTTTGCCTTGTTTGGCCTGGAACTTGTCATGTAGACCAGGCTGGCCTCAGACTCACTGAGATCCATCTGCCTCTGCCTCTGCCTCTGCCTCTGCCTCTGCCTCTGCCTCCAGAGTGCTGGGACTAAAGGTGTGAGCCACCACACCCAGCAAAGACCCTATTTCTAAATTAATAAGGTCACATCTATGGGTACTAGGGATAAAGCCTCAACTATATTTTTTTCTTGTGTGTGGTGCATGTGTGAACAAGTGTGCACATGCATACATTGTACACACGTGCAGGGGTCAGAGGACAATCTCAGGTATTATTCTTCAGCCCTTTCTACCCG